AAAGAAAGAAAGAAAGAATTGGATATCCATGTGCAAAAAAGAGAGAGAGAGAGAGAGCCTAAGCCTCACTCCTCATGCAAAAATAAACTCAAAATGAATGACAGATCTAAATGTAAACTATAAAGAAGAAAACAGAAGAGAAAATATCCATGGCATTAGATCAAGCAGAGTTCTTAGATACAATATTGAAAGCATTATCCATAAAACAAAAAATCGATAAAACGGACTTTGATATAGTTTAAAACTTCTGCTCTAAAAAAGATACTTTTACAAGTTGCAATGGCACATGTCTCTAGTCAGCTGTTTGGGAGGGTAAGGCAGGAAGATCTCACTAGGCCAGGAGTCCAAGGCTTGCCTGAACAACACAGTGAGACATCTCTTTATAACAGAAGGTGGAGAAAGGGAGAGAGAGAATTAAAAGACAAGCTACCACCTGGTAGAAAATATTTGCAAGTCACCTATCTGACGAATGACTTATATCCAGAATATATAAAGAACTCCCAAGGCTTAATTCAGACAAGAAACAACTGGGCTCATAGGAGGGGGAGGAGCACAAGACCTATCAGAACTGAAATTACTCTTAAGCTTCTATGATTCTGTGTGGTACAGAAAAAGGGACTAGAAAGCTCAGAAATAGACTCAAATTTATGTGGAATATTATGTTGTAATAACAATGGCATCTCAAATCACTGGGTTCTGGGAATACTGGTTAGTCATTCAGAAAAATAAAAATTATATTTACACATAATATCCTATATGAGAATAAGCTCCAAATGGATCACGGATTTAAGCATAAAAAATGAAATGTAACAGCAGCAGAAGAAAACATAGTTTAATTTCTCTATAATGTGGTAATATGGAAAGACTTTCCAACAATAAGTCAAGGGAGACTGAGGTGCTCTGCTTGAGCTCAGTTCAAGATCAGCCTGAGCACGAGTGGACCCCGTCTCTACCAAAACTAGAAAAATTAGCTGGGCTTCATGGAGGGCACCTATAGTCCCAGCTACTCGGGAGGCTGAGGCAAGAGGTTTGCTGGAACCCAAGAGTTCCAGGTTACCATGAGTTATGATGATGCCATGACACTCTCAGTGATGATGCCTGTCACTCCAGGATAACAGAGTGAGACTTTGCTTCAAAAAACAAAAAATTAGGTCAGAGCCGCCATATTGTGGGAGTAAAACCAACGCCTGGCTCCAAGCTGCAGCCGCTGAGGTGTCCCTGGCCAGTGTTGCTGCCACCCATCCACAAACGCAGGGAACATTTTTGTCAACCTCTTCAAGGGCCTTTTTGGCAAAAAAGAAATGCGCATCCTCATGGTGGGGCTGGACGCTGCAGAGAATACGGCAATCCTGTACAAGCTGAAGCTGGGTGAGATGGTGACCACCATTCCCACCATAGGCTTTACCATGGAGACCGTGGAGTCAAGAATGTCAGCTTCACTGTGTGGGACGTGGGCAGCCAGGACAAGATCCGGCCTCTGTGGCGCCACTATTTCCAGAACACACAAGGCCTGATCTTCCTGGTGGACAGTAAGGACCGAGAGCGTGTGAAGGAGGCCCGTGAGGAGCTCATGCGGATGCTGGCTGAGGATGAGCTCAGGGACGCAGTTCTGTTCACCAACAAGCAGGACCTGCCCAACGCCATGAATGCAGTCGAGATCACAGACAAGCTGGGGCTGCACTCCCTTCGCCACAGGAACTGGTACATTCAGGTCACCTGTGCCACCAGCGGGGATGGGCTCTATGAAGGACTAGACTGGCTGTCCAATCAGCTCCGGAACCAGAAGTGAGCGTGACACCTCCCCTCCGCCCTCCGCTTCACTTTCTTTTTTTTTTTTTTTGAGACAGAGCCTCAAGCTGTCCCCCTGGGTAGAGTGCCGTGACATTACAGCTCACAGCAACCTCCAACTCCTGGGCTCAAGCGAGTCTCCTGCCTCCGCCTCCCAAGTAGCTGGGACCACAGGCACCTGCCACAACGCCCGGCTATTTTTTGGTTGCAGCCGTCATTGTTGTTTGGCGGGTCCGGCTGGGGATTCGAACCTGCCACCTTAGGTGTACGTGGCTGGCGCCTCAGCCGGTTGAGCCACAGGCACCAAGCCCTCTGCTTCACTTTCATGTGGCAAACATGCGACTCTGTGGTATGAGTGCCAGAAGCTGTCTCCATGGTTTGGTCACAGTGTGCATCGCACCATGCTGTAAATGTGGCAGACGCAACCTGCAACCAGGTTTTTTATTTAATGTAAATAGTTTTTGTTTCCAATGAGGCAGTTTCTGGTAATCCTGTGCAACATTACTCAGCTTTTTTTATTGTAAAAAGGAACTCACTGTTCAGTGCTGAGAGGGGTTTAGGGCTGCAGGCACCTGGCCATCAAGAGCCACTGTGGGAGCCAGGCCCTCCTATCTGGAGGGTTATGTTGAGATCTATGCTGGTGGTTGGTTTTTAACCCATACTCAGTGCATTTTTTAAATAGCTAAAATCCAAGACAGGAACACTTGAACACACGGAAGGGAGACACTGCCTGCTTAGTGTAAGTTTGCAGCGACAGCCTGAATGCCAGCCATTGGCTTGGCTGTTCCCCTTGGGGACGTGAGGCAGTGGCTTGCAGAACTTCATCCATTCTGCATGGTCATCGTAGAGACCCTCTGACTTGCTTGTCGCTGGGGCACCCCGCATTCCATAGCCTTGCTTGTCCCCATGCTCCCTTAGTTCCTGGGGCCTGGCCGAGAGCCCATAGCTGTCCTCCTGCTCGCTCAGGGGACACAGGGCCCCACCCGTACATTTGGTCAGCATTCCCCGTGCTCATGCCTGCTCAGACACGGTGGGATGTCTGGGGCCTCACCAGCAGGAGTGTGGGCAAGCTGGGCATCTGGGCCCTGGCCCCAGGAGTACGCCCCATGTGTGAAATAACTTTCTCTCCCTCAGCCTGCAAGGGTCCAATTTGCCATCGAAAAAGATGACCTCTACTCTTTTCTCTTATATTTTGATAAACACTGAGGAAGCTGGAGCTGTTAAACTTGTCTTGGGGAAAACCTCAGAACTGGTCTATTTGGTGTCGTGGAACCTCCTACTGCTCTCAATACACGATTAGTAATCAACTGTTTTGTATACTTGTTTTCAGTTTTCATTTCAACAGACAAGCACTGTAATTATAGCTATTAGAATAAAATCTCTTAACTATTAAAAAATTATATTTAAAGAAATTTAAGGCTCGGCGCCTGTGGCTCAAACGGCTAAGGCGCCAGCCACGTACACCTAAGGTGGCGGGTTCGAATCCCCAGCCCGGCCCCGCCAAACAACAATGACGGCTGCAACCAAAAAATAGCCGGGCGTTGTGGCGGGCGCCTGTGGTCCCAGCTACTTGGGAGGCGGAGGCAGGAGACTCGCTTGAGCCCAGGAGTTGGAGGTTGCTGTGAGCGTGATGCCATGGCACTCTACCCAGGGGGATAGCTTGAGGCTCCATCTCAAAAAAAGAAAAAAAAGAAATTTAAATATAAGTTCATTAAATTCTTAATCAAAAGGTAGAGATTAGCCGAATGCATTTTATAAAAAAATCCTACCACATGCTGTCTGTGAAAGACTTGCTTTCTTGCTTTAAGGACATAGCTCATACCAGTAATCCTAGCACTTTGGGAGACTGAGGCAGGAGCTCCCCTAAGTTCAGGAATTTGAGACCAGCCTGAGCAACAGTGAGATCCGTCTCCACTAAAAGTAGAAAAACTGGCTCCTGCTGGCCAAGTGATCCCCACTCTAGCCTTTGCCCAGGCAAGGCCTTTCCCTTAATTTTTCCTCTTTTTCTCCTACTGCAGCTCCCTGGTCAGCACTGGCACAAAAGCTCAGTGCTGGGAGTGTCTAAAGCCACAGGGGAAAATAGTGGGAAATTCATTGTTGCCATTGCCAGAAAGGGCGATATGGTTTTGTTCTTTTCTTAAGCTTCCAGTTTGGCCTCATACTTTCTCTTGTGTAGGTTTTCATTCTTGAATCATGGCTAAATTATTTAGTCCTCAAAATACCTACTGGCCTCAAAGTTACCCAGCAGTTGTATTACATATCTCCTTATTACTATAGTGATTGATTACAGGCATGAGCCACTGCACCTGGCCATAGTTTCAGTCTTCTTGAACACAACAACTGGCAGCAGAGGATTCATTTTGATGGAGAAATCAAATGTTTTAGTGACAAGCAAACACCGAAGAAATTTGCCACTACAAGACCAGCCCTCAGCTTGACACCTGTGGCTCAAGTGGCTAAGGCACCAGCCACGTACACCTGAGCTGGTGGGTTTAAATCCAGCCCGTAGCTAAGTGGTTAGGGTGCCAGTTACATACACCAGGGCTGGCAAGTTTAAACCTGGCCTAGGACTGCCAAACAACAATGACAACTACCACAACAACAAAAATACCCGGGTGTCGTGGCAAGCACCTGAAGTCCCAGCTACATGGGAGGCTGAGGCAAGAGAATCTCTTAAGCCCAAGAGTTTGAGGTTGCTGTGAGCTGTGATGTCACTGCACTCTACCAGGGCACCAGAGTGAGACTGTCTCAAAAGAGGAAAAAAAAAAAAAGCTCAGTGCCTATGGCTCAAGTGGGCTAAGGCCCCAGCCACATACATCTGGGCTGGCGGGTTTGAATCCAGCCTGGGTCCACCAAACAACAATAATGGCTGCAACCAAAAAATAGCTGGGCATTGTGGCAGGTACCTGTAATCCCAGCTACTTGGGAGGTGGAGGCAAGAGAATCGCTTGAGCCCAGGAGTTGGAGGTTGCTGTGAGCTGTGATGCCACAGCACTCTACCCAGGGCGACAGCTTGAGGCTCTGTCTCAAAAAGAAAAGAAAAGTAACAGAGCCCCACAGAAAACAAACCTATCAATCCTCTCAATTAATGTGAATGGCCTGAATTCCCCACTAAGGAGACACATGCTGCGAACTAGTACAGTCTCTGTGGAAAGAATTATGGAGATTCTTCAAAGAACTAAAAATAGACCTTTCATTTGATCCTGCAATCTCATTACTAGATATCTACCTGAAAGAAAAGAAGTAATTTGCACTCAAATGTTTATAGCGGCACAATTTATAATTACAAAGATGTGAAAGTAATCCAGGTGCCCTTTAACACATGAATGAATTAATAAACTGCGGTATATATACATATATACCACAGAATAGTATTCAGCCATCAAAAAGACGGAGATTTCATATCTTTTGTAACAACCTGGACAGATCTGGAGAACATTCTCCTAAGTATCACAATAATGGAAACACAAACATCACATGTACTCTGAACTTAATCAGAACCAGTAGACATCCTTGCAAGGGAAAAACTCAATTAAACCAAAGTTGGGAGAAGGTAGAGAAGAGGTTGGGTAAATTCCCACCCAACAGGAACACTGCTTTGTCATACTTCCTCAATCCAGACTTTAATCTTACAAAAAGCAATATATATCCCCACATTAACTGATTAGAATGGTAGTGATGTGGGAGTTATTTATAGCCTACTGCTCAAGGTTATTGCAGAGATCTAATTTTTCCCATGTTAGGCACCCTGACGGTACATGTTATCACCTGGTGCACAGAGTTAGTCACTGCTGGAGACGTTGGCATGTTGGGAGCTTGTCAAAAAGTAATGTGGGGACTCGGCGCCTATGGCTCAACTTGCTAAGGCACCAGCCACACACACCTGAGGTGGCAGGTTCAAATCCAGCCCAGACCCACCAAACAACAATGACGGCTGCAACCAAAAAATAGCCGGGTAGCCAGGTGTTGTGGCGGGCGCCTGTAGTCCCAGCTACTTGGGAGGCTGAGGCAGGAGAATTGCTTCAGCCCAGGAATTGAAGGTTGCTGTGAGCTGTGACGCCACAGTACTCTACCCAGGGGGACAGCTTGAGGCTCTGTCTCAAAAAAAAAAAAAAAAGTAATGTGGGACCAGGCATGGTGGCTCACCTGTAATCCTAGCACTCTGGGAAGCTAAGGTGGG